TTTCCAAACACTTATTTAAGCGCGTACTAGTTACGAGCTAATGTGCTGTGAGTAACACTCCTATAAAGTTGTCTTTACAAATTAAATTTCCTAATTTCAAGTTAGGCAATCAAGGAAAGCTTTGGTATAAGACTCTACATATTTTTTTATACGTAGCAGATATCTTCAAAATGTCATATTCCATTCCGTAAAAATCAAAACATAAAATTTAAAATTTTTCTATTTTTTTACCAAAAATATGTAATTTTTANAGCTCATCACCGAAGTCAAGCATCACTGGCTGTGGTCAATGTGCGGGTGGGTGACCACTTGGATCAGTTTGCGTTAAACTGTGCTACCGTAAAGTGCTCGACTTCGCGCGCAGGTCGTCGGGCTACCGAAGCGGAGGTGCCATCCCCTCCACAGAGGATTAAAATTGTGATGGCATGTCTTCGGATCATCCTCCGGGATGTTTCCCCGACCGTCGCCAATAGCCCATTGTGCAGTTCTAGTGTGACGTAAATTAACAACAACAACAATCAAATATATAAAAGTTTCTCTACATTTTATTCATAAGGGGAACATTGAGAGTGATAATTTAAAATATTCCATTAAAATTGCAAAAACGTTTAAAAGGTTTTTTAATTCTGTTATGTCGAATTCTTGGCTATAGATGGCGCCACTGGAAAACAAGAACAATCGCACCTCCTCTTCTTAAACAGGCATACGTCAACAACAGCAATTCTGTTATAAAAATAAAAATAATAAATTAGCCTTTTTGCTTACATAAGATTCTGCAGATCGCGTCGGGACTCGAACTCGTATTCATGGGACGAGCAATTTAGCGCTTCGTACCATTCCATACGAGCATGGGATCGTGGTCCTCTGGCAGGAAAGAAGCTCATAAGTTATTTCGTAAATTTGCTTCGGGAGCACTTTATTATGCCCCATGGTGCGATTACAAATTCGTCTATAATTTTTTTGCCTTAGTGTGGTATTTTAGTATCTCAAAATGATGTATCTGATCAACTTTCGAAATTATAGATTAATATTAAGAGAAGATCTTGGCCAATATGAATATTTAGAGAATGGATCAAGTAATTCTATTATAAAGGTGATATTGACGATGCAATTAGGCCTCATTGTGAATTGTCTATACTTTTCTGCGTGGCTCAGGGGATAGAGCGTTCGCCTTCCAATGATGCGAACCGGGTTCGAATCCCTGTCGATGCGAATTCCGCATCCGGCTTGCACCGACCACAGTTCTGACGTGAAGTATCCTCAGTGGTAGACGGATCAAAGGGTTAGAGAGTCCCCTTGCCGTCAGGCTAAGCGTGGGAGGTTCTCGTGGTCTTTCTCTCCATGTAATGCAAATGGGGGTTAGCTCCATCAAAAAGTCCTCCACGAAGACAAATTTCTCCCAATACTCGATCCAGGAGTTCCCTTGTCTTCTGGATTGGGTTCAGAATTACAAGGCTGCGGAGTTGAACATTAGCTGTCGTAAACCCATAAAATTGGGTCGGCTGTTCAACGACGGTTATAAAATAAAATAAAATATACTTTTCTGCGAGTTGTGGTGGCTGAGGAGATAGAACATTCGTCCTCCAATGAGGTGGACCGGTTTCAAATCCCAGCGATGGCTGGTCGATAGGAAGTCCACACCCGACATGCACCGACCACAGTGCTGCCGTAAAATATCTTGAGTGGTACACGGATCATGGGTTAGAATCCCTTTGCCGTTGGGCTAACCATGGGAGGTTTTCGTAGTTTAAATATTCATTTTCGTTTAAACTCCATGTAACACAAACGCGGGTTAGTTTTCTCAAGAAGCCTGAGCGAAGGAAAATTTCTCCCGATTCAGTTCTTTCGTTTTCTGCATTGGGTTCAAAATTACAAGGTTACGGAGGTGAACATTGGTAGTCGTCAACTCAAAATTGATGGATGCAAACTTACTACTGACTTTGGAAAAATATTTTCGAGTGATAGTCTTTTAAAATATGTTTTTTGGTTTCATAAATATATATTTAAGATTTGTAGGGTTTTCACTTACTACTACTTCTAAATAATTCAAAAGCTTATGTGATCCCCACTTTGTTACAGTCATTTTATGCTGAGCCTTTTAAAAAGATGACAAAATTAATCAAAAATCTTTTCTTTCAATTTATAGTTGTCTAACGTTTCTTTTTTTTTTTTTTTTTTTTTTTTTTTTTTTTTTTTTTTTTTTNTTTTTTTTTTTTTTTTTTTTTTTTTTTTTTTTTTTTTTTAACTGTTTCAGGGAATTTGGTGCAGTTGGCATCTTTGAAAACTGAGTCAGCTGTTCAACGGAGGTTATAAAAAAATATACTTCCGCTGTTTTGTCCCGTACTTGTATTAAAATAATCAATAGGGCAAAGTTTAAAAATTACACGTTAACATAAAACAATACATTGCCTTTTATGTTTATGCAGATATCACAGGGAATCTTAGGAAATTTTTCAGTGTGTCCGGACGATTTTTTTATAAAAGGAATATTGAGGGCGATAATTCATAATATTTATTTAAAATTACCATGCAGTTAGAAATGTAAAAAAAAAGTTTTAAATTTTACTGTAATTAAAATTAATAATTGATTCTAAGTCCTCCAAGAAGACAAATTTCACCCAATACTTGATCCAGGAGTTCCCTTGTCTTCCATGGATTGGGTTTAAAACCACGAGGCTACGGAGCTGAGCATTGGTAGTCATAAATCCAAAAATTGGGTCGGCTGTTCACCGATGGTTATAAAATAAAATAAAATTAACTAATAAGTAGCCCTCTTATTTAAATACGATATCACTCTTTTAGGGATAAGCAATTTGGCGCCTCATGCCATACCACGGTACCATGGTCATCTGGTTGTTTACCGGGATCCGGGTTCCAAAGTCATTTCTGTGGACTTTCATGGGCACACCCTATTATAACCCATCTCGTAGCCCCTAATGGGTCAATAATTTTGTGACTTAATGTGGTAGTTAAGTTCACTAAAAGGATGTGTCTGACCAAGTTTAAAAATTATAGGTCAATATTAAGCGAAGATAGGCTATTATGTATATTGAGAAATTGAGCTATATACTTCTATTTTAAAGGAAATATTGACATTACAATTAGGCCGCAATCATTAAAAAAAAAAAGCTTCTTTTTTACAGTGAGATTGATTTAATAAAATATTTTAAACTATTGCTCTCAATATTCCCCTCATAAAGCTTCGGGGCACAATGAAAAATATCTTGCGTTCTTTGTATAGGCATAAAGGCCTGTATATAGTTTTTATATTAACCTATATTTTTCTAACTTTGCCCCATTTATTATCTCAAGATAAGTAAACACGAGTATGATTTTTGAATGTACATAATGGCCTATATCTTTTCTTAATATTAACTTATGACTTTTTAACTTGGTCAGATATATTTTTTTTATTGTATTAAAGTATTACGCTCTATTATGCCCCAATGTGTGACCCTTAATTTGTCTATAATTTTGCGGCTTGGTGTTGTAGTTTAATACGCTATAACGATATCGCTCATGGGCAGCAATAGCAGCACAACTAAAAGAAATTAAGTTTTGAGATAAGTGGGTTTAAAGTTTTCATTGCTAAGAAAAATGCATAAAAAATGCTTTAGTTTGCTTAAAGGAAGATTACCTTCAAGTTGAATTATGAGTTGTGCTAGTATTGCTGTTGAAAAGAATGTGTATTTTCATATTTACACCCGTTCTTAGTTCAAAACGTGTGCTTTTTGAGTTGTGCCACTATTGCAGCCCATTAGCGATACGCCTAATCGATTCGAAATTATAGGTTAAAAGGACAGTTTCTCTTCCCTGAAAGTGGTTTTACAAAGTATTTCTGCATATCATATATTCATATTACAATATCATAAATATTTATAATTGGATCCAATGTTAAGGCGTAATGCTTTTTTATAATTAAAATGGTACTTGATAGAAAAAAATATCGTCATAATATAATATGAAATGCATACTATCACTTTTTACTAGTAAATAATATTAAATTAGACGTATGTCTTACTCTATTTATAAATAAAACATACTTTGAACTTGACACACATTTTATTTTCTTTAGAAAACAAGTATACAGATGTTAAGGATATCACAGCAATATAATTATTTAAGTATCAAATTCTTGATTAACAATTTTCAGACATTGAAAAAATAACAGTAATATAATTATTCGAATGTCAAATTTTTGATCATCAGTTTGCAGTTTTTAATGTGTCACAGCAACATAGTTATTTGAATGTCAAATTCGTGATGAGCAGTTTGCACTCGATAAAGCAATACAACGATATAGTTATTTGATGTCAAATTCCCATAAATTATGCAGGTGCTGAAGACTTACAGTAATAAAAATTATTCGAATGTCAAATTCTTGATAAACAGTTTTCAGTTGTTAAAGCGTCACCCAGTAATATAGTTATTTGAATATTCAATTCTTGAGAAACTGTTTACAGTTGTCGACAGGTAACAGCAATATATTTCCTTGATTGTCAAACTCTTGAAAAATAATTTACAGATTTTGAAGATTCACANGCTGAAAGAATGTGTATTTTCATATATACACCCGTTCTTAGTCCAAAACGCATGTTTTTTGAGTTGTGCCACTATTGCAGCCCATGAACGATATGTCTGATCGATTCGAAATTATAGGTTAAAAGGACAGTTTCTCTTCCTTAAGAAAAGGAAAAGTGGTTTTACAAAGTATTTCTGCATATCATATATTAATATATTACAATATCATAAATATTTATGATTGGATCCAATGTTAAAGCGTAGTGCTTTTTTATAATTATAATGGTACTTGATAGAAAAAAATATCGTCATAATATAATATGAAATGCATACTATCACTTTTTACTAGTAAATAATATTAAATTAGACGTATGTCTTACTCTATTTCTAAATAAAACATACTTTGAACTTGACACACATTTTATTTTCTTCAGAAAACAAATATACAGTTGTTAAGGATATCACAGCAATATTATTATTTAAATATCAAATTTTTGATTAACAATTTTCAGATATTGAAAAGTCACAGTAATATAATTATTCAAATGTCAAAGTCTTGATCATCAGTTTGCAGTTTTTAATGTGTCACAGCAAATTAGTTATTTGAATGTCACATTCTTGATAAATAAATTGCCGATGTTGAGGAGTTACAGTAATATGATTATTCGAATGTCAAATTCTTGATGAACAGTTTTCAGTTGTTAAAGCGTCACCCAGTAATATAGTTATTTGAATATTCAATTCTTGAGAAACTGTTTACAGTTGTCGACAGGTAACAGCAATATATTTCCTTGATTGCCAAACTCTTGAAAAATAATTTACAGATTTTGAAGATTCACATCAATATAGATATTCGGACTTCAAATTCTAGATACATAGTTCATAGTTATCAAAGAGTTACAGCAATTTAATTATTTGAATGCCCAATTCTTGATAAACAGTTCGCAGTTGTTAAAGCGTCACAGCATATGGTTATTAGAAAGTTAAATTCTTGATGAAAAATATTTACAGATGTGGAAACGTCACATCAGTGTAATTATTTGAACGTCAAACTCTTGATAAATAATTTGCAGATGTTAAAGAGTCACAATAATGTAATTACTTGAAAGACGAGTTTGGGAAAAATAATTCACAGTTGTTAAAGAGTCACAGTTGTGTTATGTTTGAAAGTCATGTTCTAGAGGAAGAAAGATTTACAACTCTTTAGGTGTTATAGTCGTGATTTACTTCTAGACCAGTCGTGATTTATTTCCTTTTGAACAATCTCCTGAACATTCGAGAGAAGAAACAGAAGCATCCCTGCTCTTCTTGTTCAGATTGTTCATTGATTGTTAGTTCAATATCACTTCGTTCCCAAAAATCTCTTTCCTCTCTTAAGGGACAATCACGACTTTTCAATCTAAAATTTAAAAATAACATTCACTTTATTAGAAAATTAATGCAGTTTTTTCTTTTGTTACAGCAGCTTCTTTTTTAAATTTAAAGCTTTTCCTTCAGAGTAAAATGCGTTTAAAATCAGAGAAATTTCTAATGCACAGATTTCAAAAAAGTCAGTTTAGGCTTTTCAATGGTCAAAACCGTTATCTGACTTACACTGAGAAGCAAATGCATGGTGGATTTATTAGAAAGATTTTATTTTTCAGATTTATTGTTTTGTGCACATTTTCTTGATTTAAAACTTTTACATTAATCAATTTATTTTAATTGCTTAAAATCAGTTAAAAATATTCAAAATGATTTTTCTATTAGTTTTTTTGAATCAATTTAGCCAAAGTAAAATACATCAATATTGTGAGGAGCACCAAAAAAAAAAAAAAAACTTTTTAAAAATGGTTCTTTATCACACAAAAATCCCCCCCCCTCAAAAAAAAAATCAAGAAAAACACAAAATAAAACAGAAATGGAAACATAAAGCGATAAATGAGAACGGTCGCTTATTTATGAACATCTTGCAAAAATGATTTAAATATTTTTTCGTAACTAAGTTGGAAGATTACAAAATATGAAATTAAACTGTAAATAGACATTAATGGGATATATTTTGAAGACACATTCTTACTGAAGTATAGAACCACACTTGATTTCTCGGTTACTTTGGATTGGCCCAAATACTGGACTTGCGCAAGGTAACACTGGATAATTCAAAACACTGGATAATTCAAAAATTTTAAAAGGGTGAAAATTAAATACAAAATTCTTATTCGATGGTTTTTTAGTGAAATTACTCACATTTATTAAAAAATATTTATTGAATATTGGAGTAGGTTAATTTTTAGCTATAGAATTTTTTAACCACGGATTTACACGAATCGGATTTCCACATGTTTAAAATATGATCCTAGATAACAAAAAGAACTTTTTGAATATATATGTATGTATAAATGAGCAAAAATTGAAATCATTACTTTACATATGTTCTAAAACAATGTCTATATATAAAAAGTTTCAAAAAGCTTAAATACCTCTCGTCCTCAATGCCATATTCGATGGAGTCCTTATCATGTATTACATCCAACTTATATAATTTTGCAATATTTTCCTCCGTGAATAAATAAGTTGGGTAAGTAAAGATATCTCTAAAAGTAAAAAATAAAGGAAAAAAAAAAACATTAAACTTACAACTTCAATATAGTGTTTTTGTTTAATAAGTTTGTTGTTAAAGATTAAATATATTTATCAACTAACCAACTATTAGATGTTTTAAAAATGTTTGGAGAAATATTTATTTTAAATACTTGTTTTAATTATTTATTTGATAAAAAAGCATGTCGATCATCGTAAGAGTGATAGTTAAAGTAGCAATAATAAGTAAATTCCAAAATTGCGTCTATGGATTATCTAAAAATATTTTACAGTTAAAAAAGCATGCTTGTTATTAACCACATTCATTTTTTTTAATCTAATATTTATGAAACAGAGATTTTGTTTTTTATTCAATTAATATTGTTTTTTTGGTAATTCTTTTATTGAGAATGGTCTATGGAAAAATGAATGGTGTTTATAAAGAAAATTCACATTAAAACAGTGTAAAATAATGAGTTCAAATCTACAATAAAAATGCTCTGATGTAATTCATTTTAAAATTATTTTGTATCAAAATAAACGTCTTTTCTTGTGTAGAATTGTTTAGATCTCTTAGACCTTTAACTACTTCATAAAAATTTAGTTTTTTTACGAATTTTGAATCCTTTTCAGAAAATTGGTTTATACCAGTGACTTTGTCCTTCCTTTAGCATTTGTATATTTAATTATTTTACTTTATTTAGCAAATTTTTGCGAATTTAATGTACTTAAAATTGTTTAAAAAGACTTAAATGTTTTTTTTTTGGCAAAGCGAAGAATTTAATTTTATAAATAAACGGACGTATTCATTTGATTCATGCACAATAAATTCATTTGAAATCACCTGTACCATTGAATCATAAGGATTTAAAAAAAAACTTAAACTAATCGGCAAATTTGTTGTGATTTAACTTTTTATGTCAACATTTTATTCTAACATAGTTGCGAAAATACTATTTGAAATACGTCAAAAAAAAAAAAAAAAAAAAAAAAAAAAAAAAAAAAAAAAAACTCTAAGACTGAAGCTCGTTTTAACTAAAATATTAAACTACCATCAAGAAAAGAAAAATGCTAATTATCATACCTAATGAACTCCTCATCTCTATCATCCTCAACCTCATTATCCTCAATCTCATAATCTTCAACCTCACCATCCTCAACCTCATCAGAGGTTTGCACCTCAACTTTCATCTCCATCATGTTCTCTTCACCACTAAAATTATAAAAAGGAATATATTTTCTTAAATATTTCAGAAGCTAATAGATTTTTATTTAAAAACAAATTGTGTGACATCCAGTGATTTAAGTGATCTTTGAATGTGACTTCCAGAGTTTCTTTAGGTTTAGAGTGTGGTGTAAAATAAAAATGAGCTTCTTAAAAACTTTTGATCTAAATATCGGATTTTCTCCAACTAATATGTAAACTAATGGTTCACCCTTATAAAGCCTTTTATTTTATACATATTATAATTAAATTTACAGAAATCAGACACAAATACATGCCTTCTCTGAATATGTCTATTTTCAATGGGTTCGAATTTTTTACCCTAAAAGTTTGAAAAATACTCTGCAAAATGTGGTCCTAATAGTTTAATCAAGAGGACGGCTAAAAGTTTGGACCCTCAATTTTAAATTTTATTTTTGCATATTTTGCTATGTCACTGGAATTATTGTTGCGAATTATTAAAAAAATTGCAGACATTTGTATAAATCCAAAGGTAAGTTCTAGTACTTTAGTACTACAGTCAAACCCGGCTATAGTGCTATAGTGAACCTTCAAGGGAGCGAAATTTCGGTTCAAACCGCGAGTTCACTATATCCGCACTGCAAACAATTTTAACTAATTTTTCCGAACTGCTCCCTTTTATTACACATTATTTAAATAAATGACCAATGAAAAGAAATATGAAAATGATTGAAAAACAATATGTAATAACAACAAAAAAAATGTGTTAACTTTTATTTTTTACTATTCTTTGTCTTGCGTACGAAAAATTTAGGGATGGCCTTTATTTAGGGGTGGTAAGCTGAGAAGAAGAAAACAAGAAAAATGCTTATGGCTACAATCCGTACTCGTATTTTATGTAAATATTTCAAAATTACAAAAAAATGAAGAAAAAAAAATCAGTCGAAGACAGAAAAAAGTTCATAATATCCAATTTTCTCTCTTCTTTCGGTTCACTATATACACAAAAAATAATATTATATGTGTACAGTAAGGCGCGGGAGCGAACATTTCGTTCACTATATCCGGGAGTTCACTTTAAACCATGTTCACTATAGCGAGGTTTGACTGTATTTCATTCATTCGCTCATTCATTTCATTGTTTTTTAATTGTGTGTTTGCTTTTTGTGTGATTATTTCAGGTTCTCTAAAAGGGTACCCTTTCTTGAAAAAAAAAGAAGGAAAATAATGACAAAAGCTTTGAAAATTTTAAGGATAACTACTTACTCCTCAATCTCATCCAAATCAAAATAATCCCCTTCGAATTCATCATCGAATTCGCTACCATCCTCATAAGCTAAAATATTAATTAAAATAAAATCTGAATAAAACATAGTTTTGAAAATAAATCTCTCTTAAATAAGTTATGAAATAAATGTTTCTTCCATTTAGTAATAAAAGAAAATTAAACATACTACCGTACGTACAATCTTTCGCAACTTATATTTAAATTCAATTAAAAAGGTTGAAAATCTTCTTTGAAAAAGATAGATATTTTTGAAAAAGAACATTTTAATAAAATAATTAAGTGAATGATTCATGTGATATATTGATGCCATCATAATTCAATCATGTGATACAATGATTGATTATGTGGCATACAATCAAGCATTGTATCACATACAAAGATTGTACCAAATACAGAAGAAAAAAAAATTCTAACAAATTATAAGACTGCATCGTCATTTAAACTGCTTCTTTAAACTGTAACTGTCACGTATATTTCTTTAACAGAGAAATAAAACATAGTTTCTAAATGATAATGTCTGGATTTATCAAACACGTTAATTATTAATAAGCGAAAAAAGGATTAAAAAAAATTTTGTTCGAAGCATTAAAATTTTTTTTAAAAATTACTACAGTGGAAAAAATGTAGCGTAACTTAACATTGAAAATAGTGGCAACTTTTTTACACCAAGTGGTTTTCTACAACACCAAGATCCGAGAATACTTCCTGATGTAGTGAAACACTAAGAATGTTTTTTTACACTTCTTGGTGTAAAGTAGACACTAAGAATTTATAATTGCAGTAGGATGTGATATACATAAGAATAAGCATAGTTTTAGTGACATTACAGTATAAAACAAGAGTTATAAATTTAGGATTTATATGTACAATATTTCTTAAAATAAAATTAGTTTGTGAATCAAACGTAAACAAAGCACAGAGAGAATAATTATCTGAATTTGAGCAAGGCTCAACAAAACCTATGCTGATAGAAATTAAATAGTATAAAATTATTTAATTCAATTGGCAGATTTATGAACACGTTCTTATGCGAACATAATTATCTTTATTTTACAACTAAAAATATACATACCTTTTCATAACTGTTCAGCATCATGCATCTCATTCGACATTTCAATATTGAAATCAAACTTTTTACCTTCTCTCGTCGATTGTTAACAAAAAATATATCTATCTTTTAACAATTTCCAAATTTAGGCAAAGTTTGGAGAAAATGTTTCACAAATGGAGTGAAAGCATCTGAGCTTGGTGTAAGCTTTATCATTTATTGGAGTTTAGATTTAGCTATGTGCTCTAACGTGTGTGTAAACACGGTATTAACTTGAAATAACACACAATTTTCACAGTTTTTGAACATCTAATTCGGATAATATTGCACCACATTCTTTCAGCGAGGATTTAAAACACTTAAATGGGTAAATAGTGCTTTCTATCGTAATATTTTATTTGTTTTTACTTTATTTTGTTTTATTTTTTATTTTTAATGCTTTTATAAGATATAGAAAAACATAAATCCTAGAATAGCCCAACCCGCGGCGATTTTTTTAAATCTCGCCAAACCACGTTTCCGAGAGGTATTTTAGAGAATTTTAATAAATAAATCGTTTAAAAAAATCGTTAATTATTTAATTTGAATAAATTCTTAATGTTAATTAAATAATTTTTTTTTAATTTTTTCTTATAGTAATCAAAAAGCAACGTTGAGCCCAGTACTAATCACCAACTTGGCGAGATCTCAAATAGTCGCCAAGAGGTGGGCTATTCTAGGATTTTACCCATCATCATTATATTTCTCGGTAAAAGTTTACAATTGGGTGACCTACTTATTTTGGCGTTTTTTAAAAAAAATTTTCAAGTTCTAGCAGAAAACAGGGAAAATTATTAAAAAGTGAGATTTTTTCTGTTTTCGAGAAATCGAGAATAATAGGAAATAAGAAATAGGGATAGAAATATCAGGAAAATAAAGTATTTTGTATTTATAATAAGCCTCAGGTTACAGTGCAAAATCTAAGAGGCACTCTATTCTATACTCAAACCTATTTTTCCTCTAAATTTCTTATTGAACATGTTTCTTATTCATTCTTTAATACTGCCATTCAGCAAAAAATTTAAATTGGACTACCCATTTTAGAAAAAGAAGTTTTATTAAATTATCCATAAATTTTTTTTCTAGTTTAAGACTAAAGTATTACTTATACCAAATGTCTAAAATAATTTCTAATTTTTTTGAAGTTAACGAAATTTTCTCAATCTTCTTTAAATTTAGGTTTAATGTCGATAATTGTACAGAAGTTTTATATCGCTTTAACACTATTCTAGTTCTATATCAATGAATAGTTAAAATTTCAAAAATATTGAAAATTATGTTTTTATACTTACGATTAGGTCGGGGATACTTTTCCCTTTCCTTTCTCCAATGATTCAAAAGAGCAAAACGATATAAATCGCTTTTATCCATAATTCTCACTTTCTAATTTCACAAAAAGACAACCAGCATTTGCAAACAAGAATGAGTCAAAAAAACTTTTTCAATCAGATGCTTCGTTTGCAACAATGTGAACAATTGTTTAAATAATATCTTGCATAATATTTTTATCTAACTCTCTATTAGTTTATTGTTGTAAAAATTTAAATGTTAAGTATTGTTGAAAATATTTTTAAAAGTTGGTTATTCTAAATCAAATGTAAGAAAAAATAACATTAATGATCATTTCAGAATCAAGTTTAAAAAAACTGATTTCATCCATACATTTTTATTTATTCAAATGATACAATTGACAAAGAAAAAATATTTTAACTTTCCTTTATGCTCACTTACATTGTAACTATCATCTTTTGCACTATTGCTTTTATCTGTGTTTAGGTAAACTGGACCCTGTATTTCAGTGTAGCTATGCCGCTAGAGCTGCCAGATGACGAAGAAATCGTCGTATACGCTGTTCCCTACCTACTTTCTATGAGTGATTTAGTTGTAAATACACCCAAAAGGTAAACAAATTTGCTTTCATATCTTTCACGCAATCTAAAATAATTAAAGAAATAAACAAATAGCATTGTACTTATTGTAATTACATGTTACTACAGTCCCTGGCCATATTAGTCGACGCACTTAGAGATTCTATGTGAAATTATAATTATCACGTGATACTCTACAGCTGTATTGTTTTTACTCGGATTAAACCGGTTTGCACTTGCTTACGCTCTTGTATCCATTGGTTAACATTGTAATGCAATACGTTAAAAATAAATACAAATAGGAAGTATATAAAAAAAATCTCTTGAATAAAAACCCAATGCATGTATGTTTAAATATTAACCCTTTGACGGTCAGGAAAATGAGCAGTTTTCGTTTCATTAATTCGCGCAGTATTACGTGCAAACAGTAGTCGAAAGTGGCATCTGTTTTCCACCGCCGTTCTTCCGAAAATGTCACCCTTCTCCGGCGATGCCAATTTCTCCGTCTTCTGGAATTGTTATAATAAAGTGGTAGCAAATTATGTAGTAAATTTCGTTGGAGAAGGACAGTTACGCCTACTTTTTAATAGAGTAACCAGTCGATTGTTGCTTTAACGTTGCATTTTATATGTTACTTATAGTTTTTGATATTTAGTGGTGAAAAAATTACTTAAAAGGAAAAATACTAAACTGAAAGTAACTTGACTTTCGCTATCACTAGGAAATACTATTTTACGAAGCGGAGCAAGTTGGCATCTCTGGATGCGGTAGATAGCTCGCCTCACGCGTTTTAAAAATTTCTTAAAGTATTAGTAGTACATAAATAACAATTTTTACGTACTTTTCGTTTTTAACATAGTCAATGCAGAATAATAATGGCGAACGAGCTCAGCTCGTCAGCGCGCATTGGGGAAAAATTTCACTACGCGAGTAGTGCTCGTTACTAACCATTACGGTCAAAATCTTGCTCCCGGGTGGAACTCGTTTGCGCGCATTATGAGGCACGATTCGATTGCGAGCTGAACTCATTCATAACCGTCAAAGGGTTAAAGTATCGCATATAAACTTGTGCAAAACATGTCATTATTAAAAAACAACAGCGGGTCTAACAATTTGTTCTAATCATTATAATATAATGCTTGATATAATAAATATTCTACATTTATATAATAATATACCGTCAATTTATCCTATCGTCATATTTATATTATACTTCGCCTAATTTAACCCATTGATACACGAACATAAACAAGTACGAACCGGTTTCAGTCGCATAAAAACAATAAAGCTGTATAGTATCACATGATAATTAAGATGTTACATAGAATCTTATAGTGCGTCGTAATAATCGTAACAATTTTGTACTTTAAAATGGTTTGTACTTGTATTGAAATGTACCTTTATTTTGAACATAACTATTTAATAAACTATTACGTATTAAAAATATCGAATGATTTTTTTCCCTCCATTTAGAGTTGTTGCTAACTACGTACTGTGGAGGTTCGTCTACAACCGTGTGAGTAACTTGGACAAGCGCTTTTTGATGAAGCAGCAGGAGTACTACAGCGCACTCTACGGTACTCAGTCTATATCTCCGAGGTGGAAGACCTGTACTGTGTACGTGAACAAGTACATGGGAATGGCTATGGGTGCATTGTTTGTCAAGAGACATTTCAATGAGAAGAGTAAGGAAACGGTACAAATACTTCCTCTTCCTTCAATATCTCCTTCTTCCTATTACTTTTTCTAGCATCAATTGCGATATATCACATTTTCTAGTATCAGTTGCAATACTTTTTTTTCTAATATCAGTTACAAATCAACATATTACTTTTTTTAGAGTCAGTTACAAATCAATATATGACTTTTTTCCAGTAACAGTTCTAGTATTTAGTATGTTACAAATCAACATATTACTTTTTCTAGTATCAGTTCTAGTTTTTAATATCTGCTACAATCAATATATTACTACTGCTATCAATATTTAATGTCTGCTAAAATCAATATATTACTTTTTCTAGTATCATTTCTAGTATTTAATATTTGCGAGGAGAAAGAAAACTGAGTCAATTACCCAGGGCTAAAGAGAATTCTATTCTCTTTAGCCCTGTCAATTACCGCTCTTTTCAGTTTCCCATGAATCTCACGGTCGGAAATATCTTATATTTTTATGAAAGCCATGACGCCATATTAAATAACCTTTTAGCGAATTATATGTTAATCTATAATATTTTTGATTTTTTAACAATTATTCATTATTGTTAGATTAAGTGATGTTCATCTTTAGCTAATTATATGTTAATTTATAATATTTTTTAACAGTTATTCATTATTGTTAGATTAAGTGATGTTCATCTTTAGCTAACGCCTTATGATAGCTATGAAAATGGCGCAAAATATGAATATGTAGAAAACCAGGTGATTATTAGAAACTTCCTCCTAGTATCATCAGGGGATCAAACTGGTTTCGATATTTTTCATTTCGCCTTCCTCACATGTTTTTCGTCTGCGTTTTTCCTTTACTAAAATAACTGTACATTTGTACCCTTAATGTCGGAACGTTTTTTAAAATTTATTTTTGAAAAAGATTCTAAAAATACATAGTAAGGACGTCTATTACGAAACATGTACATTTTAAGTTTCAGTAGTCAAAAATTATGTAAACATTTAAAATCAATCTAGTAAATTGTGTAATAAGTCTGGATGCAAAACCAATTAATATTTTTTTTTCAAAAGTCGTGTGTGTGGGGGGGGGGAATAAATGGAAAAATCTAAAAAAAACCGAATTAAAACATGTGTTTACTAATATTTTCTTTAAATTAGAGTGAAATACTAAGCCAATAAAATTTAAATAGCTGCATGCTTTTATGAAAAAAAGCCCTTTCTATGACGTTTAGCTTTAGCTTCTCGCCGGCCTCTGCCCGGAAGTTTTCAAGACTTGGCTATTATTCTGCCACCGATCGCGATACTGAAATCTCCCCCCCCCCTTTTTTTTAAAAATTAGATTTAATAAAATTTCTTTTAACGTTAAACGTTAGGGACGGAGCCGCGATGGCTCAGGGGATAGAGCGTTCGCCTTCCAATGAGGTGAACCAGGTTCGAATCCCAGCAACGGTTGGTCGATAGTTCCGCATCTGGCTTTCACCGACAACAGTGTTGACGTGAAATATCCTCAGTGGTAGAAGGATCCTGGGTTAGAGTACCCTTGCCCTCAGGCTAACCATGGAAGGGTTCTCGTGGTCTTCCTTTCCATGTAACGCAAATGTGGGTTAGTTACATCAAAAATGTCCTGCACGAAGGCAAAATTTCTCTCTCCCAATTCTTGATCCAGGAATTCCTTGCCTTCTGGATTGGGCTCAAAATTACAAGGTTACGTAGTTGAGCATTAGTAGTCGTAAACCCAAAAATTGGGTCGGCTGTTCAACAACGGTTATTAAAAAAATAAAAATGAAAAACGTTAGGCACGAGTAGAAAAGTATGTATACTTTCTGACTAAAGGCTTGATAAGTAAGATAATAACAAACTAATAAACAAATAATAATAACTATTTAAAATTATGATAAACAGTAATGAAACACAGAATAATTCACTTTTCGTGTGATAGTATTAAACTATGCATACTTTTCAACTATTTCAGCATTTCCGTAGTATCAGGAAATATTTTTTTTCTAGTGTTAACAAAAGTAGTGTATTGATATTTTACTAAATGAGAAATCAAAGAAATTCCACCACGTATGAATAATTTAAACAGGTATTTTAAAGATCAAATAGAGAAATGGAGTTTAATCAAATAGTCCAAAGTGTTTACGAAAATTTCATGTGACATCTATTTGTTTTAAAAATTTCGGCTTTAGTTCACTGATATGCCTCGCAGAAATCATATGTTAGAGGGTGTGTATAAGTGATAATGAACCACGTGTAGGGATAAAAATGTGAATATTTTTAACCACTAGTGAACATTAGGCTGATCTATTCTAAAAAAAAAAGTATTATACATTGTGTGAATAGTGTTAATGCCATCTTTGTTACAGGCTGATGAAATGATTCTCGACATTAAAACATCTTTTCTGGAGATCTTAGATGAAGTAGACTGGATGGACGCTGAGACCAGATCTGCTGCTCGCGAAAAAGTATTACTCATTATTTGGAATATGTTATTTTCTGGCTTCGAAATTTTAAAAAGATGAAGCTCTATTTTTTAATATGTAGCGTAACTACCACTACGATTATTAAACTCAAATTTACTATAATAGAAGACACGTTATTTTGTTGAATTTCTTTAAGAACAAATTAATAAATGAAGGTAAGCGTAGTCTACGCCTACTATAATTGAAAGCCTCTATGCGTTTTTTTAAAGGTAGTGCTCTATGCGAAAGAGCCATTTAATAGAAAAATCTATGTCTAAAACTATGTTAAATTTATGAATATGATTGGTTTGTCTTATTTGCTTGTCAACCACTACAGATTCAATTCTCAAATATCTATGATACATTTCTCTTAAATACATTTAAAGTAGAATTTGGGTTCATGTGCGCAACTGGTTCGTTTTTTAAATAATCTGCCCTGACTATTTCTAAAAAGCCGTTTGGAGGCTTTCTGATGTTAAGGTGATGACATAGTCGAAAAGCTCTTTCTCCACATTCGTGACCTTTTGGACGTGATAGAAGCTCGCTTAACATCGAAAGTAACGCCCACCTTGATTTAAACACGCCTACTTCGAGGGATGGTACACATTGAAAAGTTGACATGCTATTTCTGACATCTTCATCGCCGCTGTGACTTTCATCCTGCCATGGGTGAAAGCGAGACGGAAAAGGGGAAAAGCTGGTAGAAAACCCGTTTCAGTTTTAACATGTTTTCGGGAGGAGTTAAACTATTCTCTGATTTAATTAATCAGTTATATTTACTTTTCTATAAAGAAAGAAGCTGTTATATATATATGCTAAAATTGTAAAAAAAATTCGGTAGTTACAGAAATGTAATGTTTCTCGAAAAAATAGCTAGAATGAAATGACTTTCGTTCCAGTTTTTGCTCTTTTCCGTCTTGCTATATATAGGCTTTCAGCCCTGAATCCTGCCATAATTTCTTATTTTGAAAAAAATTTTTCAGCGTTTGAAACTTCGCGGTTTATCTCAACTCATTTTTCTTCCAACTTTAAATTTTAAAAACACCCATGGAGGTAAAAATGAATTCGTTATTAATGAATTCGTTTCGCTCCCGCTATATAACGTCCGCTTGAAACAAAAAATTTGACTGCAGATCTAAATTATGCTCTTCATTTATTATTGTAGATAGAACTAGATTGTTCTTAAAAAATAAATAATTATAATGATAACAATTGATAATAATAATAATGATGATTATAAAATAAATATTAACCGCTTCCCTTTCCAATTTTTTTGAAATGTTAAAATCAACATATTTTTGTTTATTTTATTAATAAGTACAAGGAATTAAAACACAACATAATACGCAAGTTCTAAGTTGAAATTTAAATTTTTTTTAAGTGCAAAAACATTTAGTTTACCATCTGTTTACTATCACGAATTATCTCGGGCAAATGAAAAAAGTTAAATATTAGTCTTTGTGTAATAGTTTTTAAAACGAGGGATAACACAAAGTGATATTTTCCAAACGACAATGAAGTGATACGAAATGCTTTTTTTTTGTTCTTTTTTTCGATGGAAATTCAGCAACTATAGTATAGACCAGAGGTGGCCAACCTGCGGCTCGAGAGCCACATGCGGCTCTTTGACGGATTATTTGTGGCTCTCGATAAATGTACCCGAGTTCCCTTTCAATTTTTGCGATATTATATTTTAAAAATCTATTATATTTTAAAAATTTATTATCGCTCCGTATGTATTACAAAATGTATTTTAAATTACTGAGAACAAATATGAAAGACTAAGTGCAACGCTGTTCAATTCAAGGTGAGTTTTCCATTTCCAATATATTTATGACACAAAAAGCATCTGGAGAATTAGAATTAATAGAGATGCAAGAAGATCAAGCTTTACAATTAAAATATAAGTCGACGTCGATTACTGAATTTTGAAAATTTGAACCAGAATCGAAGTATTCTGAATTCAAAAAAGCTGATTGTCGAATTATTTCAATATTCGGAACAACGTACTGACGTGAATCATTTTATTTCACTTTAAAATTCGTGAAATCCAAAAACCGATCAGTATAAACTAACAAGCGTCTGAAAGAATTACTGAGAAGTGCTATCACCAATTATTCATCAAATTTTAAAGAATTATCAAGTAAAAGTAATTTTTAATATTTAAATTCAATGCACATATTTTGCACTTCTGCTTATATGTTCTCAATAAATATAATTTATGTAAAAAAAAATTAAGATCTTTTTTACATACTTTGAATACGTATTTAATTGCGGCTCGCGAAAAAATTTTAAATTTTGAAAAATGACTCGACTATCCAGGAGCTTGGCCACCCCTGGTATAGACAGTCCTACAAAACAATCTAACAGAAAAACTCCTAAACAAAACATGGCAAGCTTCCAATCACAACAGATCATTTTTTTGTTTCCAACCAAGTAAAAACACGATAAAACAAAATTTACTGCTACGCCCGAGTATTCTCGGTATTATAAATATTTGCAATATATAGATACCCGAGTTAACTCGGGATAAATTAGGGAAGCGGTTAATAATTGTGCAACCACTCTTTGTTTTTTGAAGAAGAAACTTATTGATACACAAGTGGGCGACCTTTGTGCTAAAATACAAACTGAGGTAAACAACGTTGAAGAGCACAAAAAATATTTATAAAAGCAGACAAATAGCATAGCAGGCTGTTTCGGATGCTTAAAGGGCAACCTTCATCAGTGCAACAGAAAGAACAGCAAACATCCGAAACAGCTGTCTGCTTTTATAAATATTTTTATAAATAATATCAATTTCTATGAAAGACTTTTTGAAATATTTGTGCACGGTTCTTAAAACAATAAGTTTCTTACAAACTGAGGTAAACAACGTTGAAGAGCACAAAATATATTTATAAAAGCAGACAAATAGCAGAGCAGGCTGTTTCGGATGCTTAAAGGGCAACCTTCATCAGTGCAACAGAAAGAACAGCGAACATCCGAAACAGCTGTCTGCTTTTATAAATATTTTTTATGCTCTTAAACGCTGTTTACCTCAGTTTGTAAGAAACTTATTGTTTTAAGAACCGTGCACAAATATTTCAAAAAGTCTTTCATAGAAATTGATATTCAAAACTAAAAATTCAAGGCATTCAGAATAAAATTTACATAATTTCTTTTTTTTTTAAAAAAAGAGAAAGGTTTGGAAAGTAAAATTTCTGTCTAATCAAACTAATTTGAATTTGGAATTAAGTTAAAAATTATTTTGAATCTATTTGCAGGCTATAATGATGAGCCAGAAGATTGGTTTTCCAGAATATATTTTGAACTCTGAAGAGTTAGATGCGGAATACGAAGGAGTGAGTAATTCGAATATTCTGTGACAAATTAACATTTTGAATTAATGCATTTAATTTAGTAACTGCAAATTTTCGACATAAGGAAAAACGCTAGAAAGTTAGCAAAAATTTTTGCCTTTTTAAATAACATTTTTATAAATTAATATTGTTCTGAATTTTTTGAGGAATGTAAATAATAAAATGTTTGGTATAGTAGTGCTCAAAATTTAAACGAAATTTCATGTTCTTTTTTAAAATTAAAATGGCGATAAGGAAATGGAAAAGAATTTTCTTTTTGTTATCAATTTCTGCATTGAAGTAGCAATTATTTAATTATTGGATAATAGCATTCGATTTGTGCATGATCATCGCTTGGTGAAAAAGGATTTAAGTATGATCATTTCTCAGATAAAAAGGATATCAGTGTGATAATTTCTATGTAAATAAGGATCTTAGTATGCTTATTTGTATGTAATTTGCATACCTGCAACTTTTACGCATTTGGCGTAAAATTTTATTTCTACATTTAAAGTGGTAGTAAAATGTATGCTTTCTATATATTCCTTCATTTATTAACTTAATTTATAATCTTTGTGCCGACCAGCCTGTATAGGGGTTAGGGAACTGCCCTTGCATCAGAAGGGTTCTGGGTTTGATTCCCGGCAAGGCATGAATGTTCTTTCCTTCTCTGTACTATCTGTCCTTACGGTGGGAGCAACGTTGGCCCACCTAATGTGGTGCCCCTGAAAGAGTGGCCAACAAATCTGCCCTTCAGGTGCCTGTATGACCTAGGTCATTATTCAGGTGGGCATTGGAAAAAAAATTATAATTTTTGTTGACTACCACTATTATTAAAAAAAATTTAAATATATAAATTAATATATTATACAGAATAAGTGTTACAAATTCAGCGTATGTTTCTGCCTACAATTGTAATATAAATACCATTTTACTTCCACCTAGGAAAATTATCCTCGAAAGGATTAAAATTTGGCAGGTATAAATTTGTAATACTCAGGATGCACACATCGATATTTTGACATTTTTGTATTTACCACAAAAAGTATATTTATACGAAAATTCTAAACTTCTTAATCATAAGACAGTATAATTACAGCTAAAGAAATTCAACTAGTTTTAACGGAGATCAGAGGGAAACTGTTTGTAAGAATTTAACAAATGATGACAAATACGTCGCAAAGTTGCATAGAACTTTAGTTTTAATTTCACTATAATTTGAAAAACTTCATCGAGAAGCTTTTACACAAACATTTAATTAAATATATTTTGGTAGATAAGATTTAGTGAAAAACATTCCCAAATTTTTTGTTTACCACTTTTTAAAACTTTACAGATTGTGTGTAAATGTATTAATATATACAGTATTCAAATCTTTCAAGGATTGCGCAAACCGTGTTATCTTTTCAGTTCGCCAAGTTAAAATTTAATAACTTTTTTGTAGAGAATTAAATTAAAATAATTTTTAACTTTCTTTTTTGCCTTTTTTTTCAATAACAATTTTGTATAAATTAGTATAATTTTTTATTTAACTTTAAAAAAGTGTGCAATCTTTTCCAAACATGAATTTTTGTGTGAGGAAGTAAATGTTGTAAAAAGATATTGCTTTTTATATTAAAATTCAAAATGTTTCCAATGTCTTTTACATGAGCCGTGATGACTCAGGGGATAGAGTTTTTGCCTTCCAATAAGGTGTAACCGGGTTTAAGTTTTAAATTTTAATAAGGTTTCAGTTTTAATAAGGTTTCCGTGGTTTTCCTCTCCATGTAACGCAAATGGCAATTAGTTCCATCAAAAAGTCCTCCACGAGGGCAAATACTTCCAGGAGTTCACTTGTCTTCTGGATTGAGTTCAAAATGACAAGGCTACGGAGTTGAAAATTAGCAGTCGTAAACCCAAAATTGAATCGACTGTTCAACGAAGGTTATAAATATAAATAAATATAAATGACTTTTACATCCAGATTAATGCTTCTTGCAAAATTTATTAAAATTGTTTTTTTGTGTAGATAGAATTCAAGCCAGATACATATTTCGACAATGTTCTGTTGAATTTGAAGCACAACTCAGCTCGAGAGCAAATGAAACTGCGTACACCTGTTGACAGGAAACAGTAAGTATTCGCAATTGCTAAATCCTAAAATTCAATAAGCGAAAGTTTCATGTAATAGGTGTAAGTTACATTGCACCCTAACTTCCTCAATCATTCTTTAAAACTACTAAAAACTAATCAATTGAAAGAGAAAAAAAAATAAAAAAAACGTCTCGTGAATTGAGACATTATTCCACTATTTTGGTTGCAAATCTTCCCAGAGTCCGTCACAAATATTTAAGCGGTAATAAAGTGTGAAAGAAAGTGCGGATTTCCTTGATTTAATATCCACTCAAGTTTGATTGATTTTTAACAGGAATCTATATATATATTTCTCTTACACGGCGACAAAAAAAAAGCCTCATTACAACTCCCCGAATGGCAACGCTAGAAAATCGACCAATGATTGCCGCTAAAAATGTCACATGCCAAATCTAGCTGAGGTGGATCAACATATAGCGCTTTTAAAAACGGAAACTGGAATAACCAGAGAGAGCATAAGCTAGGCAGAAGTGAGTAGTCTTTGTCGATATATCTCTATTTTAGTATTTTGTCGAAAGCGCTTTTTTTTTCACGAATTAATGTATTACGAATTTATTTGAAGATTTTTGATTTATATCACGAATTTGTTTGTTTAACTAGAATTTATTTGTTCATGCAGGTTTTTCTATTGCAATTCGCTTATTTCAATTTTTAATAGACTTAATTATAGCCAATATTTTAACCTTTTTAAAGAGATATAAGTTTTAGAAATTTTATCTAAAGATTTTATACTATAGCACATTTATAATAGGTTTAACGAATTACATGTCATTTATTTGAATACAAATTTATTTTAATGACTTAGTATTTACCAAAAAGATGTAATTTTTTTTTAAAAAAAAGGTTGATATATGGATTTGAATGATTGTTTTGAATTCTTAGAATTTTGTGCATTTGCAATGTACTTAAGTTAGTAGCGAGCGAAGCAAACCATATAAGATTGCGCAGCAATTTTCGGGGGTTGGCGAGCGTTAGCGAGCATGGGGCGCAGCCCACTAGTTTTTATTTATTGTTACACACACAATTGCCGGCTTGTATTTCTCATTATCGATACGACGTGTAGAATGCGACGCTGATGAACAGATAACACAAGTTAGAGAAGGTCTGCACAAAAATACTTTCTAGTTAGGGTTACGATGGGATTCGAACCTTATATCTCCACCGTACAGAGCGTTTGCCGAAACAGTGATGCCATTCAGCCACGGAGACTTTTTTTTCACTTTATATACATATTTTTATTTAATTACTATACAGACATAATTGTTCGGTATTATTTTATATAACTAAGTTACAAAAATATTGTGGTGATTAGAAACGTTGTATAATTATTATTTTTTTTTTTAACTGGAAATATATTTTACGATATAAATGTTTGCTACAACTTTTAAGTATTTTGGTGAAATATTGGGAATTCTGTACTAGTAAAGCAATATATTGTGGTTGCTAGGTCAAAGATACGTTACTGATTTCGGAATACATATTTAGCTATAAAAGCATGCGTGCTAAACTCTTCCATTTAAACGGAAGATTTTCTTAGATTAGAATATTTAAAAGTGATGTTTACCCCTTTGTTTTGGATTTACAATGATTTTTACCTCCTCAATACACAACCGATATAAAAATATATATATGATACCTAATGTAATGAAGTTTGTAAGGGGATGTCCTTGCTCGCGAGGTCTTGCTGATCCGCCAACCTTCCTTAGTGTTTAGGTAGCAGGTTCGAATTCTGTCGTAATACTAGCTGTATGTATCTTTGTGATGTTCTTCCCAAACTTGAGCTGTTTGTTCTTCAAAATGAAACGGTTTTAAAAGCCGTCTTTGTAAAAAAGCACGCAAACCTAAATATGTATATGTAACAATAAATGAAATGTTTAAGTGTTTCCAAAATTTCAAACGTTTGAAATTTTGGAAATTAAATCGTTTTTTTTTTTTTGTCCACAATAGCGCAACTGCTTTTAAATTTTAGAGGGTTCCTTTTTCCAATTTGGATCAGGTTAAACTGTTTTTTTTTTTACTGTAAATTCAGCCGTTTTACAATAGTGCTTTGGATTAAATGCTAACAAAATATTGAAGAAAAGCCTGAAATATCGGGGGGTAGCCACTATCTAGGAAATATGGTCCCAATAGATTGGTGAGCAATTTTACTTTCTGGGTATTTCAACATGTCTCGAGAACTTTTTGAGCGAATTTAAAAAAATTTACACACAATTATAAAATTCGGTTATCCAAAGATGATTCTATGGAAAAAATAACTTTTAGTGAATATCGATGTTTGACCTGGATAAGCGAGTTTTTATTTTTCTGATGATTTTGTTTGAGTTTCTCTTCTAAATTTGTTATTTGTATTTCATGTTTTTTCCTGGACTTCTATACAAAACCATCGGGGTACTGAGGGAGTTAATTTAGGCATTTGCTTCTCCCTCAATTAGAAATGGTTTTGTTTTATGGCTACCGGGGCCGGTATCCCCTGAAGACGTCGGCTTCGGTGGTCATATTTTTATTTTTATTTCCTTCGTTTCCTTTATTACTTGATTTAATAACACTCAAAAACATTTTGAATTACAATGTAAAAATTTTTTACATTTTAAAGAACAAGGTAAAATGCAAAATTGGAGCAAGATCGGTGGAATAAGTTTCTGGAAAAACGAATTTCAAAGTTGCGACTTTTCCAAATTCGATTTCTCGAGAACTATTCGACCGAATTCACTCACATTTTGTATTTTGCCATGTAAAAATATAATTTTTAAGATGACGTAAAAAAATTGTTAACCTTACGAATAAAATTTTTTCAGTTATCATCAAATAAAATAATAAATGCATACTAAAGGCTAGATTTTGTATAGAATTATCTTCGGATAGACCAACTTTATATTTGTGCACAAAATTTTTTCAATTTGCTTAAATGATTCTCGATATATAGTGAAATACGCAAAAAATTAAAGTTGAAAGGTTAACATTTTGGACCGCTCGCCTGATCAGCCTATTTGGACCATTTTTTCCCAGGTTGCGGCTACACCCTATATTTTGAGGGTCTGAAATCCGAATTCGTCGGAAAAAAAGTATGTTAATCCAGAGAAAGTACGTTATTGTATCTGATTTCGTAACTTAAAATATCGTCCACACTAATTAGGAAGCATATTTGAGGTGACCCTCTCAAACCATTAAGGTTGAGTTCTAAAACGTGAAGATCCGATCAATAGATGAAAAGTAATTCAGGGTGATCTGTTTACTTTTTTTGCTAACTGTACATTTCTCAAACCAAGTAAAAAAAAATTTTAAAATTAAGCGGATAAAATATATATAGCTACCACTTTAATAATTGAAAAAAATTTATTTATAAAATTCTTAATCTTGTCGATGATAACACACCTCCATAGTTCTGAACTGAATAGCATTGCCTTCATCGGGTAGTCGCTATAGCTCTAAAAAGATATCATTTCAGCTTTTTTTCTGATGGAACCTAATCTCAGGGCTGAAAGCGGGACGGAAAAGAGAAAATACTGTTAGAAGAACTATTTCAATATTAGATAACATTCGAGGGGAGTTAATCTATTCTCAACAATAACAATTCACTGTAAGGAAATGTATCACGGCGATGAAGCTATTCAATATGAAAATTGCATCCGTTAAAAACAATTGGTAGTTATGAATTTCTATTATTCCCGGAAAAAAATGAAATTGATTTGTTACCAGTTTTTACTCTTTTCTGTCTCGATATCCTCTTTTCCGTCTTTCAGCCCTGCCATATCTCTATCTAAATGTGCAAATAATTTTGATACAAATTGAAATGTTTATATAAAACTTACGAATATTATCATTTCTCTATATGAACTTACTTTATATATATATATGCATATATATATGTATACATATATATATATATAGCGCTGCCAACATACAACAACGTTTTTTTAAAAATTTATACAAGTGGTATCTATGTTTTAATTAATTACTTTATGTTCATTTCAACTTATTTGCCACACCACTACGTATAAGAAGGTTTGAAAGCTTTAGTTTTTAAACATCTACCACTCTATTTAATATTTTTCAAAAATTGTAGTAGTTGGCAGGCCTGCCAACTACTACAATTCATAGCCAAATACTACTTCATAATATATATAATTAATCATATTCAGTAATAGACAAAATTCTTTTAATATCATATTTATTAAATTTATAATAAATTACCTTAGCTACCACTGAGAAAAACATTTTCTGAAACTACGAAAATTTCGTAGTAGTTAGAGAGTGTGGTTAAATTGTTTAAAAATGAGTCTAAAATTTCTCGAAACCGAAAAGCTAACAGCGAAAATTATTATATTTGTTTGATGGGTACGAAGCACAATAAAAACATGCCAGTTACCCAGGTAGTCATTCAATTTCATAATTTCTATGATTTTATTTTGAGCTCAACAATTTTTAAAGCATGTAGCATAATAAAATTCTTCTGTTTAAGTGCATAACTGCTAAGAGTTATGAAATACACATAACTGTTTTTCAGATGGGTCACAGCTCCTGCGGTTGTTAATGCGTTTTATACGAGGTCGAAAAATTTTATAAGTGAGTATATTTATATTTCCTTTACGAGAAGCTTTGAAGACTTCTAACGAAATAATTTTTAATAATTTTTTTTCAGCGTTCCCTGCTGGGATACTACAGCCTCCTCTGTATCATCAAAATTATATTAGGTAATTTAAATTCATAACTTCTTTTACCTATTGGCAAAATGGGTGTTGTTTTGGGTTTAATGGCGTGCACACCTTATTTGGACGTCGTTACACTTTTCAACTGTGTTCAAGAGTAATAGTAAACAGTGCTCATGCGTCGTCTTTGCATGCGTTGCTATGGAGACTGCTGCTGTCTGATAATTTTTTAAGAATTCTATTTTTTTTTCACTTTTAATTTTGTTATGAGTTGGTGAGTTTATTTTTGAGGTATGGGACCAGAGAGATCCCATAAATACTTCTTGAGTTGTGAAAAAAAATTAGACAACATCCATTTTATCAATGGGTAACCTGTGATCGCCTTTCGGCTATTAAAGTTTTTTTTTTTAAATTGATTTTGAAATTAAAGATCTAATTGCTTAGATCTAAATAAGTGCAAATTACTTTTTTTTTAATCTCATGTAATTAAAATCAATCAGGTAACAAGTCGTGATAGCAATTATTTAATACCTCTATAAGAAAAGACTCTGCAGTTTATCGTTTTTGAAATATATGTCTTTATGGAGAGATTTAGCACTTTCACACAGCACCCTTCACGTTCACGTAAGTATATTCCGACCATGCTCCCTAAAAAAAACCAAATAATGTATGCATTAACTGCTCTGAGTACAACATACGTACGAGAAAAAAAGGAGGTGCACGTGAAATCGCTAAATCTCTCTAGTTGTACTATGAATTGCTGCTATACTACTTTTTAGGATTGCTACAGTCTAAACATTTGAAACGGAATTACTAATGTTTCATAAGAATGCTGGAAATTTTATGTGTTGGAATTTTAATTTAATTTTAGCAATTAAGCTTAAGTGTTTTTCCTTGTAGATATATTTCTTTAAAAATACAAATATTTTTTTTATGTTTTCTAGTTCATTAAAATGTATCTGTTCTTCTAAATTTTTAATTTCATACTTGAGTTTTTAAAATGCTCAATGTATTAAAATGATCTTGTTTTAGCAAACTCTCGTAAAAACAAAAATCGAAATTTACTACAAAAATAAAATAAAAAGCTATTTTTGATTAACGGTATGTTGAAAATAATGCAGGCAAACAGGGTGTTTTTTAATGCCTTTTAAAAACATCTTTTTAGAATTCATGCCAAAAATGAAGTAAAGAAGTTATATACACTTACGATATCAATTTGGCGTAATAAGCGGGGGGGGGGAAGCTATGGAAATCTTTCTGAGGAAGACAAAACTGAAAATAATCTAAAAAACAAATTGAATCTCCGGAAATTAAAACATGTTTGATTTCAGTAGAAAAGGTGAGACATATAAAGGCAGTTATTAAAAATTCCACAGAGTTTAATCAGGCAACCAAACTGATTTTGAAATTTTCAGTCCCACCTTACTCAGAAGTAATTAGTTAGATATCGAAAGCGTTTCTGTTCTTTACTTCATTAAAATATTAATTTGAAATTCTTCAAGTACGTACTTTTATACTTAATTTTTTAACAAAAATTTTAAAATAAATTAAAAACGGCTATTACGAAGCACCTTTAAACTATTTTATCTGTTTTGAAAATCCCTTTTTACTTGGTGTGCCTGAACTATCTTTCTAACTCAGAGAATTATGTTTCTCGAATAACGAGCCCTAAATTAATTCATTGAAATATTTTCTTGTTTATATTGCAGATCTTTGAACTATGGAGGTATTGGAGTCGTAATTGGTCATGAAATCACACACGGCTTCGACGATAAAGGTATTATTTAAGACGAATTTATACGTTCTATTTTTTTTAACTGAATGATTCGTTGAGATGTAGTGAGTGCTAAGGCTTTAATTTTTGAAAGATATTTTAATTAATTACATTTTTCTTGCTATATTAATCAAAGAGAGCACTATAGAATTCAAGACTAAGAATTACTAATAGTAGCCACTGGCTGTCAGAGTCACAAAAAATGGAATGTTTCTAGATCAGTGTACGCTTAGTACCAGATTTGTTGATTCAATATATTCTTTTGGAAAAAAAATGGATTTATTAGATTTAATTCATCGTTATTGCTTTTATTACTATTTTTTGTTAAAAAAAATATTAAATTTATGTTTTACAACAGATGGTAATTAATATCTTAAATACATGATGGTAAAATACGTAATTAAAAATATTTAAATACTACAAATAGCGATCAATTATAAATAGTTGCTAACTAAATATAAAGAATATATATTTCTTGTGAAAAATATATCAGACATTTTATTAATAGAAGGTAAGAAAATTAACAATTTTCTGTAACTTGGTGACTTGGTCAGAAAAAAACTTAATCGACGAAACTGGTTAAAAAAGAATAAATATGCAAATATACTGAATATTTATAGCGAATCATCGTGAATCGATTCCATCAAAAAGTAAATAATTAAGGGAGCTATTCAATATCCGTATGTCTTAATATCATATTAAAAACATCGCAATTTTAAAAAGATGAGGAAATCAATAGCAATAACTCTCGAAAAAGTTATAGAATCGTCGCAAATCGAGCAACAAAAAATGATTACTCAAAATGTGATTCGATATTCGCAAGTCTTACTATTGAATTGAAAAATATCGAAATTTTAAAAAGCAAGAGGAAATTCATTGAAAAAATTGCTGGCAGGACCATCGAGATAAAACGAAGATATACGGTGGGATCATCATAATTATTATTCTATTATAGACTTCTCATGAGCGTCGTTTTTGGCGACTTGATTTTGATAATTTGGTTAGCCATTTTCTGTGTAATAGTCACCCGTTCATGACATCTAATCTAGAGCTATAGCAGTAGTCATAAATCCTACTGTCTTAAAAATGCCAGGCATTGTTTACCGTGCCGGCAGTTTTTACTTGCCGGAAGCAGATATTCAGCACATTAAAAATAGTGCAGTACATTAAAGATAATTTTATAGCACATTAAAAATAATATTTATCATGTTAAAAATAATTTTTTGTAAAATACTAATTATTTTTTTGTTAGAATTTATTACTTATGTTACATTTTTTTTAAAATTAGATTTATGGAAGATAAAAAAAAATTAATTTGTTTAATGAAATAAAATTGTTTTTATTGAAGAACTTTATGTGTCCGCAGGTCGTCAGTTTGACCATTTTGGTAATTTGAAACAGTGGTGGAATGCAGAAGCACTACAAAAATTTCAATCGAAGGCCGACTGTATGATTAATCAATATGGCGACTACGTCATGACGGATATCGATATGAAGGTATAATACGTTCTTTGTTAAATGCTTTTAAAATTACTTAAAACATTTTTTATTTCTTAGAATTAAAAAGTAAGAGAATGGGTTTTTTTTTTCTTTTTTGTGTTCTGTTTGCGAAGTACGTAGATTATTTCAACATATTCATATAGAATTCATTATGTGTATTGAAGGTTATGTAGGATGTATGGAGAACATTAATTATTGTCTTACTTTACATAGAAGGTGAATTTTTTTTTGCACCTCTAAATATAGTCGAATGAAAACTATGAGCAATAGAACTATAGTCTTTTACCGAAAAGAAATAATGCGTCTTACCTTTGTTTACATTTTTTTTGCTATGCCCACTCGATTGACGCTCGACATTCAGGTATCAAAAGGGCATATTTGTTGGCCCCTCTTTCAGGGGCGCATTAGGTGAACCAACATTTCTCCCACAGTAAGGATAGATAGTACAGAGAATGAAAGAACATCCATGGAAGTCCGGGATTCGAACCCAGGACCTTTCTAATGTGATGTCAGTTCCCTGACCACTACGAATTCTGGTCGGTACTTTGTTAAAAAATGTTGATAACAAAATATATATCTATATTATTCATTTATATATTTACTTAATAAATGTGTAATAAGATTAAGTTACTTGAATGTTATTCAGAAATGCTTACTTGTCAACTAACTGTCCTTAATAAATTTAAAAAATGGTGTTATATTCTTTGAAAAAAGCTAATATCACTTAAATTCGGAACTTCAGATTTTGATAGATTAGATACTAGATATATTCTAGATTTTGATAGATACTTCATGTAGAAATATCAAGCATAGAGTAAATATACTTATTAAAAGAAATTTTTTTTAAATTTTACAGCCACATTTTGAGCTTTTTAAGGGCAGTACGAGCCTTACTGCATGCTTCACCAGTTTATATTTTGATTAATAAACTTGATTTACGATGATTTTAGCTATCATTACAAATTAACAATTTTGAAAACACATATGATCCTGCTGAAAAATTTATAAGTGCAAGTAATGTTAGAATAATTAACCTTAACCTCAATTGTTATTTCGCAACCGCGTAATATATTCTGAGGATCTGAGATAAATACTGTGATAAATGTTAACTAATTGAAAAAAAAACTGTTATGAACTTAACTTTTTTTCCTTCGCAACTAATTTAAATTTTAAAATAATGTGTTTTGATAAAATTGAACCACTTTATTGAGCAACACTGCACATTAGTATCCATTATTTCATGAAAAATAAATCATACACTCGATATCTCAAAGTTGAAGGGACGCTAAAAAAATTTCGAAATAGCGAGGTTTCGAGATAAGTTCAAAACTAACTATGATCTAAAAACTAGAAAAATATATTCTAAAATATTACTCTATAAAGTTGAGTCATGAATTCAACTATTAACTATGTATGTAATGATAGTTGACTATAAGTCTTAAATACAACAATGGTAATTTTATTTTTAAAAGTAAGACGAAAATATTTATGCATTAAATAGAAAAAAACTAGTTTATAACAAACTTACATTGTGATTTTTCCGAAAAAATTCATTTTCTATTTCGACAACAACCGTTAAAGTTGAACCAGTTAACGGTCGACATAACAAGGTTTTAAGAAGAAACTCTTCATCATAGGAATTCAAATTAATATTAGGTGGATATATAATGCCATTGGGAAAAATATTTTTTTGACATAACAAGGTTTTTGAGATATCGGAGTTCGAGATATCGAGAGTATACTGTACTTCAATTTTTAATTTTTTCGGTGATATTGGAAATCTTATTTTAAGTAGGAGAAAATATATAAATTGAGTAGCGGCTCTAACCGTTGATTTAACAAGTGATGCATGTATTAGACCTTGTAAGATATGCTATATACGAGTTCAATTAATGTGTGCTATTTTTCAAAGAAACTTCAATATTTTGTATTACTCCATTTCAGATCAACGGCATAAATACTCAGGGTGAAAATATTGCCGACAACGGAGGTGTAAAGCAAGCATTCAGGGTAAGCTGTCTTAAAATATCCAACAGAAACTTGCGTTTTAAATTTAATTTACCCAAGTTGTTGCTCAATGTTCTTCATAATTAATTTGCATGAGTTTAATATGCTTATCAGTCGTAATTAAAAATCAATTCAATTTAATTTTCAATTACTAATTATGAGTTAATATATTGATGTACTGACTCAGAATTTTAAATTGAAAACTCTTTGAATTCTGAATAATTCATTAACCGTTTGACGCGGTGTCCCTTTTATCTATTTTTTTCCGAGACTCTTACTACAACCAAAAATATATTTTGGGAATTTATAATTGCAACAAGCAATCTAATAGTTACTGAAACAATCTGTTAGATTACCGGAATAATATTTGTACTAAAATATAAAATTCAAAAATAGTAGTTTGAGTTTTTTTTTTCACTCATATTCAAAAATTTATCAATGATTGATTTTGTAAATTAAAGAAATTTCAAAGATTTCAACTGTTTCTCTTTGATCTAAATAGCTGCAAATCTATGCAAATTTGAAAAGTTATTGTTTCGAAGTGAGCCGTGTTCTGAAGATTTTACCTTTAATTCAGAAAGAGACATGCTGTATTTTTGTATTGCTGTATTGTTTCATGTTATATTTCGTAACCATAAGTTATTAAAATGCTAAATATGATATTGTTCACTTATTTTGACCTAAATTAACACAAAATTATGAAAAAGAATGTGAAAAATATGTTTCATAAAATGAATTAGGAGTTAGTAAATGGAAAACAAAAAAAGTTTTAAATTTTAAGAATTTACACAAAAATTTACTTAAGTTAAAAATATTAATCTACATTTTTAAAGTATGTGTCTTAAGATTCCTAAAGGTTTTCATACAATGTACGTTTGATTCTCATTTAGTACAATTTTGCGATATTATCAGTCATTATTGAAAATCAGTAACATAAACGAATCATTACTATGAGTGTCATAAAATAAAATCAATACAAGCGAAAATCAGTAATAAGAGTGCCATAATTCTGTGTTAGTGATCAAGTATGCTCTCATTTTTTTTCTTAATTTATTTCAGCCAAAAACTAATTCTCTCCTAAATATTATTATATTTTTATTATAAAAGAACATTGTAATAACGAAAATATAACATTACTTTTATTCCCACAAATCGACGAAAGCGTATGCTGATTAGTCAGATACTATGTACAAGATGCTAAGAAAGTATCAAACTTAAATTTCTAGTAAAAATTAAAATCCCTATTATACTACAGTCAAACCCCGCTATAGTGAACACGGTTTATAGTGAACTCCCGGATATAGTGAACGAAATGTTCGGTCCCGTGCCTTGCTATACATGTATAGTGCTATTTTCTGTGGATATAGTGAACCAAACAGGTGAGGAAGTTGGATATAGTGAACTTTTCTATGTCTTCGACTGATTTCTTTCTTCATTTTTTTTTGTAATAATTTTGAAATATCTACTTCAAAATAAATACATATGTCAATGTTTAAAACCATCTACAGAGGGGAATGTAGCGATAAACATTTTTTTCTTGTGTGCTTCTTTTACCTCACTTTCCAATCCCTAAACAAACCAAGCAGATGTTTCCATCCCAGGCAGATGATGCACCTGTAAGGAGTCAGTTTGATCAATATGCATTTTCTGTCAGAGGGAATGAGTAATTATTCATTATTGGTCAAAGGGTTGAACACTAATATGTGTTGATAAGGCCCTCATTTCAACTCCTCTTTGCTTTCAGTTCAGTTAAAAAAAGTCTGCAAACAAGTGTCTCAAATTTAACTATAGCGACTAGTAAACGTAAAACGTTCTCCATTGGTGATAAAATGGGCATAATCGGAAAAATTGAAAAAGGATGCAATCAAGTTGATATTTACAAGGAATATAAACTATGTACTTTTATGTGCTCGAATGCCAGGTTAGACAGGTATAAAAAGCGAAATAACAGAAATTCAGGAAAAATTATCTGAGAGTCGNTATTAGGTGGATATATAATGCCATTGGGAAAAATATTTTTTTGACATAACAAGGTTTTTGAGATATCGGAGTTCGAGATATCGAGAGTATACTGTACTTCAATTTTTAATTTTTTCGGTGATATTGGAAATCTTATTTTAAGTAGGAGAAAATATATAAATTGAGTAGCGGCTCTAACCGTTGATTTAACAAGTGATGCATGTATTAGACCTTGTAAGATATGCTATATACGAGTTAAACCAATGTGTGTTATTTTTCAAAGAAACTTCAATATTTTGTATTACTCCATTTCAGATCAACGGCATAAATACTCAGGGTGAAAATATTGCTGACAACGGAGGTGTAAAGCAAGCATTCAGGGTAAGCTGTCTAAAAATATCCAACAGAAACGCACGTTTTAAATTTAATTTACCCAAGTTGTTGCTCAATGTTCTTCATAATTAATTTGCATGAGTTTAATATGCTTATCAGTTCGTAATTAAAAATCAATTCAATTTAATTTCCAATTACTAATTATGAGTTATTATATTGATGTACTGACTCAGAATTTTTAATTGAAAACTCTTTAAATTCTGAATATTTCATTAACCCTTTGACGCGGTGACCCTTTTATATATATATTTTTTAACGCTCTAATTATAAAAAAAATATATTTTGGTAGTTTTTAATTAAAAATAAGCAATCTAATAGTTACTGAAAAAATCTGATAGATTATCGGAATTATATTTGTACTAAAATGTAAAATCTAGAAAAAGTGGTTTGAATATTTTCATTCATATTCAAAAATTTATCAATGATTGATTTAGTAATTTAAAGATATTTCAACGATAAATAACTGATTCTCTTTGATCTAAATAACTGCAAATTTTAAAAGTTATTGTTTTGAAGGGAGTCGTGTTCTGAAGATTTTACCTTTAACGCAGAAAGAGACTGTATTGTTTCATTCTATATTTCATAACCATAAGTTATTAAAATACTAAATATAATATTTTCCACTCGTTTTGGCCTAAATAATGAAATGAGCACAAAATAATGAAAAAGAATATGAAAAATATGTTTTATAAAAATAATTTTGAATTAGCTATTTGAAAATAAAAAAGTTTAAAATTTTAAGAATTTGAACAAAAATTTACTAAAGTTGAAAATATTATTCTACATTTTTAAAGTATGTCTTCTTTCTAAGATTCCTAAATTCGTTCATCCAATGTAAGTTTGCTTGTTTTATTTTCATATGGTGCAATTTTACAACATTATCAGTCATTAATGAAAATCTAGATAAAGTCATTGCTATGAGTGTCATATAAAATCATTACAAACGAAAATCAGTAATAAGTCAACTTTGCTCTCATTTTTTTTTCTTAATTTATTTCAGCCAAAAATTAATACTCTCCTAAATATTATTATAGTTTTATTATGAAAAATCATTGTAATAATGAAAATACAACATTATTTATATTATTTGAATCTCACAAATCGACGAACGCTGATAACTTAGATACAACAAACTGCTAAGAAAGCATCAAACTTAAATTTCTTGTAAAAATTAAAATGCCTGTTATATTGTTGGAAAACTCGATTTAACGTTGAACCATTACATCTTACAAAGATACTAAATTGAACCATGTTGCCGTTATAGTGGAACCAGCACCAGGTAATCAAATTATGGAATTAATTGCTCTGCTAATATGGCTCAAACTGGCATTTTATTACAGTTGCATCCGATTTGCACGAAAATATTGTATAACAAACTTTTCAACCTCGTTTTTAAAACGTCAGATAAAAAGTCCTATAGAGTTGTAATTATTTTTCCATTTTTATTAACTTTGATTTTTTTATTTGTTATTTGTGATTACTGTTCTGAACTTGATCCAAACATGAAAATTACCTGTTTGAATTGTTTTAAAACTAATTTAAGTGAATAACATTTTCTTACATATTTTGGATAGTCTACATTTTCCGGTAATTGGAGGCGATTCAGATTTCATTCACTTGAATAATTTAGGGTTCTTTCTATACTACTAACTTTTAATGGAAACATTTGCAGCGCTAGTAATGCTTCATATTTGCAAACGTTACTTATTGCAGCATTCCATTCTTTTTACAACAACATTCAATTTAAGTATGCTCTAAGTAATTTTCGCATTTCTTCCACAGGCTTATCGAAGTTGGGTTTCTCGCAACGGTGATGAGCCACTTTTACCAGGACTTGAGCTGAGCCACGAGCAGTTGTTTTTTCTCAATTATGCTCAAATTTGGTGTGGAACAATGAGACCGGAAGCAGCTGTGAACATCATTCGAACTGGAGCTCATAGTCCTGGAAGATTCAGGTAATAACTTCAATTCTATACTTGGATAAGCACCTTTCTTATGAGTACCAAAGTCAGAATTTTTGATGGTTTTTCATTGAGAGACCAACATAAACTTGATGGTAACCATCAATCATTCCATCGTGAACCATTATATTTTTTAATGGTAATCAACATAAGCAACCATCACCCAAATGTAGGAATTACGACTGATTTACGATGGCCCAACATAAGAATAGCAACTTGTTTTGATAGTTTGTTCATATTGAACCAACAGAAATTTCCATCATAGTTTCGTAGACATCAAATCTTAGAACGGTCATGAACCACCATCACCTTAATGAAGGAATTTGATCTGATTCATAATGGGCCAGCATTAAAAAAATGTTTTTGATATTATATTTCTGTTGAACCAACAGGAATCCTCATTAAACCTTCATGGAAATGTACAGTTTAAACCATCATAGACCATCACAGATCATCATGAATTGTTGGTTCATGTGAATCAAATTCTCTGGACGGTCAACCATCATAGTGTTGAGGTAGCATTTTCCATCACGGAATGATGGAAGTTTGTTGGCATATTAAACATAATGAGCACAGAATGGAAAATGTTGGATGATGGTGACCATCAAATGATGTTGGACCATCATGAATCGCACTGAAAACCAACATAAACCATCAAACTTTTTTGATGGAACCATCAATAATTTCATCAATTATTTCGCTGACGATCTTTTTTTTTCGGTAGTTTCTGCTACGGATTTCACGATTTTTTTAAATAATTTTTTTTAATGTGATGATGATTTGCAAAATGCGAAAAAGGAAATAATTAGTATGTTTTCTCCATAAAAAAATGCAAGAATATCAGCCATAATTATTACATATTCAAATAAAATAGTTGTATTATTTTAACCGAAAAGTTTTTTTTGAAGTTGACGCTTTGTTACTTTAAATTACTATCATGTATATTTGTTATTTTTAAAAGTATATTTTCAGAAAGGTATTAGTATTACAGAGGTATGTTGCAGAAAGCCCGAAAAAATTCTGCTCGTAATTTCTGATTCTTAATTTCAGAGTAATTGGAGCTCTGTCCAACTCAAAGGATTTCTTGGAAGCATACAACTGCCCAAAAGGAAGTGCCATGAATCCAGAACACAAGTGCGAAGTGTGGTAAACAACAACAAGAAATAAAAAATTAAAGTGATACATTCCAAAGGGATCTTTCGTGCAGATCAAAACAAAAAGGAAAAAAAAACTTTTTTTTAATGAAAATGAAGTTGATATTTGCTTTGGATAGACGCACATTCTGCTTGCTTTCCCAAAACAAGCCTTACGCTATCTTCCATTAGTGTTTTAAATTAATAATTCATTTCGAATAATGTTCATAAATGTGTCCAACATTTTATTTTAATGTATGTAACTCATAAGTTATTAATGCTGGCCATGAACCATTAAACATAACAGGGGTGACAAAAATGAAACTGAAGATTTGTTTGCATCACGAGGTGGCGTAGAATGTGGCTTATCAGGTTGCTTTTAACTATTGTGAATAAGTTAAATGTATATTCAGATATACAGAACATACTTTGATTTACAATTATGATGATGCTCTTTTTTTGTATACCAGTCGCACAGAAGTCTGTGCCAGATCATCTAGTGGTACCTCAAAATTATTATAGTGGTATAAATAATTTAAATATATATTCAGATAGACAGAACATACTTTAATTTACAACTGTGATGATACTCTTTTTTGTATATCAGTCGCACAGAAATCTATACCAGATCATCTAGTGGTTCCTCAAAATTATAATAGTGGTATATTAAATTTTGTCGTAAAATGTATTTAATGAAACATTCCAGATCACAATGTGACAACTCTAACTCATATAATGAGTTATGTTTAGTATAAGGTGAAAGTTTATAGCATTTAAGTGGTTCTTGAACCATGTGAATATCCACTGCTTTGATAAGTTTACCACTATAACAATTTTGAGAAACCACTGAACACCCTGCTATACAGATAAATCTTTATTGGACCTACACTAGTTCTCTTCAACGCAATTTTCATTTAAGCATACTATGACATTCCTACCAACTTTTACGCTTTTCAAAATAGCTTTTTTTTCTAGTGGTAGGGAAATGCCAATTCAATTGAAAGTGTAAGATGATATTTTATAAAGATTTAGTCAACATTTGAAAACTCTTTCGGAGAGCCAGGAGGCCTGTTTTATACAAGTTTAACTTATTTAAATGAAATGTAGTCAAAATCGTTTTAAATTACATTTATTCATACAAGAATAAAGGGTGGATATATAAATTTTACTACTACATGAAATATAAAACTAAAATTTTCTGGAAAAGTTTACAGGTTTGTTGCGGGTATTCAGCAAAGCATGAAATAATTTGTTGACGAAACCGTGCTGACAGCATGCAGATGATCGGAATTGTCACTGGTAGTTAAGCATTTAAAGGATAATACCTGTATTGAAATAAGTTAGCATAAGTCAAAAAAGAAAAAATTTAATGGCATTAGTTTATAAGATAACCCATACCTACCAACTTGTACGAATGTCGAGAAAAAGTTTTTAGTGATAGCAACATTTCTGTTTGAATGTATTATTTCTGGTTTTTATTATTTCACAGAAAAAATTATTTTATCTGTCATGTCAAATTAATAATTTAAAAATGTTTATAAGATCTATTGGTAAGACCATGTTCGCCTACGATTAAGCTGTCTGTAAAGTATTTTATAGAGTGGTAGACATTTGAAAACTTTTAGAATATTTGGTAATTTTGCCAACATTTTAAAAGCGTCACCACTGAAGAACTGTAACAAAGTGGTTTTGCATATGAACTTTTAAATCATTTATGTGTAGTGGTGTGGAAAAAAAGTTTAAATTAATTAAAAAAAGATTACATTGAAACATTAAATTAGCTACCACTAGAATATTTTTTTACTAACAGTGTAGAAAGTTGGCAGTCCTGGTAAAACAGTTATGCTTGTAAGTATTGGAAAAATAACTAAATTTTAGGACAATTCTTCCCACGATAATTATTATTTTACTACTATTTTATAAAGGACCGTACAAGTTGACATATTTGAGTTACATATTTTCTTCCTCAAAACAATTTTGAATGCTTAATCTTTCTCTCCTCAAAATTTACAAAGACTTATTTTGATTTCTTTTTCCTTCAAAAATATTTAATGCTTAATTTAACTTTAACGATAAACCTTTTTAGCTTATTTATTTCTGAAAATCGCAGTTATTTAAATTTTCTGTCTGAATTTCGTTTATAATATATCCGAATTATAAAATGCGATATGTTTTCCAGCAAACATTTTTTTTTATATATATTCCAGTTTGTATTTTCAGTTCTCAACCGATCAAAACATTTTGATTGTTGAAAATCTGGGCCGTCAAATCTTTTAAGTTTTTGTTAGAAAAATAATATTCTAATAACAACAAAAGTCCCTGATAAAATTGAGCGAGATTGCTTAAAAAATTGATATAGCAATTGTTATTTTGTACAAATATTTCCCGAGATGATAAAATAAACTATTATTAGAAGTTAATTTTTATACATTTGCTTAGGAATGAGCACATTCATTATTAGTTTATTATTTAAACCTTTACGAACGAGTGCATTTTTCTGGATTAAGATAGACAGAATTTACCAAATTAAATTCTTTTAAAATTCAAAACTTTAACGTACTAAAAACCCATAGTGCATGGATATGCATTTTGCCCTAATTTCCCTCTCTCGCCCTTAGCGGTTTTTGTAATTTCATTTTTCTCACCTTTATTAATTTTTCATATTCTGTTTCACTTTCAGGTCCTGTGGTTTTTCTAGTTTTTTTTCATACTTTCGTCGACAATTTTACGTTTTCTGTTTCAAAACGCCTTTATATTCCCCATTCACGTCTGGCGAGTCTTGAGAATATGCGCCTATTTTTGAGCGCTTGAAACATGTCAATTTTTATTACCATCTTCATTTTTTTGAAGCAAAGTAAGTTTTATATCAAGCATATCTTTTCACTTCGATTCATTAATTTGTGTATATTATTACTGGCTCCGTACAAAAAAAAAGTTGTAAATAGTGGTAGTAATATTTATATAAAAAATATTTTAATTTGCACATAATTACCAAAATATTTAAATTATACATCATCATATCAGCTTCCTTCGAGTAAAATGAATACTTTTAATTTAAATTCAGTCATTATTTTTTTTGAATATTTATGATGACATGAATCTGACAGCATTTGTACTCTAAGGGTTAATCTAGCAAAAGTGATTCATTTTTGTTCCTTTTCATTTTTGAAAAGTTACTACTCCACAAATTTGTTCCAGGCAGAGAAGTACTCATTCTTATTGCATACATTTATATTGCGCCTTGTGATGTAAGTGTTAAGCAGACATTTATGGCGTTAATTTAATTGAGATTGTTTAACATGTGATTGAATACATTGAAATTATCATTACCTCATCTCATAAACACTTACCTAATCCAGATCTGCAACTTATGCAGAAAATACAGTATCTGATTAAATTATTAGACGCACTATAAGATTCTATATAAAATCTTAATTATCAGGGGATACTACACAGCTTTATTGTTTTTGCGCTGATGAAACCGGTTTGTAACGTGTATCAAATGGTTAACAATGTAATGCAATACGTTAAAAATAAATACTACGAGGGTTGCTATTTATATTTCCGGCAAACAGTACTAACTACAGTACTAACAGTACTAATGTAGGATCGAAATTGGTTTTATTGTTTTTCAAAATATTCTCCATGATGATCAATACACTTTTGCATGCGTTTAAACCAATTTTCAAAGCACTTTTTCCTGTCCGATTGAGGTAACTCCAAAACATGCGTTTTGAATGTATCAACCNGTTGCTTCTAAATAAATAAAAATATTATTTTCTCTTATTTATTACAAACATTTATATAAATTGCACAATGAATTAGTAGTTACAAAGATTACAAATACTAGGATAACATTATATAGTAATAAAAGAAATACTAGGTTACTAATAGTAAAACCTAGTATTTCTATTATGAAATAATTTATTTCTTTGATAAAATAATTTAAATGACAAAGATTAAGTCATCTGTCAATTATCATGTCAATTTATCCGATGGTACTGCATTTTTTAAATGAGTCAAATATGACGTTTGCCAGTTCCACAATCAAGCCAATGATTTACAGAGGTTTCTGCACAAAAATGTTAAAGAGGTTTTCCATTTAGGTAGATGTTCATAAATGCGTTTAACGCTTCTTGTTTAAGACCAGTAAGTAATGTGTTTTTTTATAAATTCATTGCTGAAAAGTCCTTTTCAACCGCTGCAGTACTCCCAGATAGAGAAAACATCAATTCCACAATGCGCAGTATGTTGCTGTATTTCGAGATTAAAGGGTCATAGAAGTGAGGCGCTAGACTCTTGTAAGATAACAAAAATTGAAAATCAATCACGAACATTAACGGGAAAATGGCCGTCCGCGCGGACGCTGGGTTCGAGAAATTTGTTGTCCGCGGGGAATTTTTGATCGCCGAGGACGGGCGGTTTTTCGAGCCCTGATTTATATAAAAAATATTTTAATTTGTGCACAATATTTAAACTATACATAATTATATCAGCTTCCTTTGAGTAAAATAAACAGTGTTAATTTAAATTCAGCGATTATATTTTTTGAATATTTATAATATCATGAATCTGACATTTGTACTCTTCTAAGGGTTAATCTAGCAAAAGTAATTAGTCCTTGTTTCTTTTCCTTTTTGAAAAGTTACTACTTCACAAGTTTGTTCCGGGCAGAGAAGTACTCATATTTATTACATACATTTATATTGCGCCTTGTGAAGTAAGTGTTAAGCAGACATTTAAGGTGTTAATTGAATTCAGATTGAATACATTGAAATTTCATCATTACCTCATCTCATAAATACTTACATAAATCAGATCTGCTACTTATGCGGAAAATACAATCCGTGGACAAATTATTAGACGCAGTATAAGATTCTATGTAAAATCTTAATCATCAGGTGATACTATGCAGCTTTATTGCTTTTGCACGGCTAAAACCGGTTTACGCTTGTTTATGTTCGTATATCAATTGGTCAGCATTGTAATGCAATACGTTAAAAAATAAACACAAATAGGAAGTATATAGAAAATCTCCTAAATAAAAACCCATTACATATATGTTTAAATCTAAAAGTATTGCAAACAATTTCGTGTAAAACATGTAATTATTACAAAAATTGCAGAGCGTTTAATAATTTGATGACGCCCGGTGGTTGAGCGGTAGCGCTACGCGCTGTCGTGCCGCAGGTCCTTGGTTCGATCCTCTGGCCGGGCAAGGCTGACTCAGCCTTTCATCCCTTCAGTGGGTCGATAAATGAGTACGAAGCATGCTTGGGAACTAAACACTGGGGGTTCCGCGTTCGGCTGACCACCTAACCGGAACATCTGCTCCTGCACCCCAGAGCCCAAGGTCAAGAAAACTGAGATGGGCACGGTAGGCCTTGGCCCTCTATGGGCTGTCGTGCCGCTGAGTTTAGTTTTTAGTTTAATAATTTGATATAATTATTACAATATAATAATATAATACTCGATATTATAAGTATTCTATATTCATATAATATATCGTCTAATTCAGGGGTTTTCAACTTACATGAGGCCGGGGGGAGCAATTAAAAACACCTGTCAAATGGCGGGTGGCAACTTTATCAAAATTTTATATAGGACTCTTTCATGTTTGAAGGAACATAAATATTACAGTCAGGTTTTTATCAAGTTGTACAAAACAAAAGTATTGAATTACAAATTAAAATAAGATTTTTAAAANATGTTCACGATTCAATTCCATTTTTTGAAAGAGAAGAACTTTTCAATTTACTGTCAACAACACAAATGAAGCTATAATGGTAAATTGTCTGCTGAATTTATGTTTAAAAATATCAAACTTTCGATTAAAATCATCTGCGTTCGCCTAGCAACACTTACTGTTGCCAAGGCCAGAAATATAAATAGCAACCATAAGAAATATAAATAGCAAGTACATAAAAAATCCCCTGAATAAAAACCCATCACATGTATGGTTAAATATAAAAGTATGGCCTATAAGCTCGTGCGTCTTAAACACTACAGTGCGTCTAATAATTTGATCTGATTATTATATTACTAATATAATACCTGATATAATAAATATTCTATATTTATATAATATAACGCCCAATCGTAGAATTTATATTATATATCGTCTGATTCAACCAATTGATACACGAACGTAAACAAGTGCAAACCGGTTTCAGTCGCGTCAAAACAATAAAGCTGTATAGTATCACCTGATAATTAAGATTTTACACTCGTAGAATTTCAAAGTGATTACTGATAATTTTTCCACTAACTGTATGTTTAAAAAAAAAGTGGTTTTGAAAACAATTCGTTTCTTTCGAAAAAAAGCTAAAAATTAAATGTTCTTTTTACCACACTTTCATCTTTGCCGGATAATTCTACAAAAACAAATTTTCTGGTTTGATTCACTTTTAGTTTTATTTATTTGTTTTTGTTTTCTATATTCTTTGTATAAACTCTTCATCAGTTCATTTGTTTTTTTGAACCTCCAAAATGAAACATCACATGCTTCATGTCTTAAGCTCTTCCATGCTTTTGTAAATAATTTCATGTCATATTGATATTTTGTTTTGTTTCATTTTTTATTTATGAACATTAGTTTGTAATAAGTGTTATGTATATATGCACGCATATGTATAGCAAAAAAGAAATAAAAATTGGGAAAATCGTAAGTAACTTCTTTGTTTTTCAATTTTTCAGGCTTGATTATTTTCTGCTGAATATGGGAGTACATAGGGCATGGAGGAATACATATGATATAAGATCGATCTTGACTACTCCAGTCCGGGGGTTTTAAAATGAACTCTAGTGGCGTTTGTGTGGTTGACAAAAATTTTGTGACCACAAATCTAAGGCCTAGGAACAACAAATTCACTCCTCAATTAAAGAAGTTCCTAGCCCTACATATGATTTCTGGGATAGGTGGCGAGCTTCTGAAAATGCTCTGTCAAAAGCATCCCAGACGTGCTCCAATGGGACTCTTATCTGCAGATCTGTCTGGCCCCTTAAAGCACTTGAATATCTTAGGTTATGGTGGCTCAGGAAATAGAGCCCTCTCCTCCTAATGAGATGAACCGAGTTCGAATCACGGCGATGGCTGGTTGATTCGAATTCCGAACCCGGCTCGAACCGACTACTTTGCTGACATAAAATATCCTCAGTGGTAGTCTGATCATGGATTAAAGTCCCCTTGCAATCAGGCTAACCGTGGGAGCTTTGTGGTCCACAACTCCATGTAAAGCAAATACGGATTAGTTCCATCAAAAAATCCTCCACGAAGGCAAATTTATCTCAATACTTGAGGCAGGAGTTCCCTTGTCTTCTGGATTGTGGTTCAAAATTACGAGGCCACGGTGTTGAAAATTAGTGATCGTGAACCCAAAAATTGGGTCGGCTGAAGCAAAACGTAACAAAACAAAATGTAACGCAAGCAGAATACCCAACACAGCGTTAACAAAAAAGAAATGTCTAGAAAATTTTCACTTGCCAATCCAGCAAGCCTACTTAATGGAACCAAACGTATTAAAGGCAGAGAGTGCATTTCTTGTTTTTTAGTGGCACTATCTATGGCCAAGAATATGAATTCAGCCGCACACACGTCACAACCCGTTTATAGGGCGAACATATTCACTCATCCACGATCAATCTTCAATTCAGTACCCTCAGAGGTATGATTTGTTATGCTAACATGAAGGATTTCGTGACCCGACAGATATTTTTTTATATCCATCGTTGAACAGCCGACCCGATTTTGGGTTTACGGCTACCAATGTTCAACTCTGTACCCTTGTAATTTTGAACCAAGACAAGGAAACCTCCAGAGGTACTGATTTGTTATTGGAACATAGAGAACTTTGCGACTCGACGGATTTAACGTGCATCAGTCACCATTTACTACAAGGGGAGTCTCCGACCGGCGGAGATCGAACCCACGAACTCTTGAACGTGGATCCAGTGGCCTACCAATCAGGCTATCCTGGTCTAAAAACCCGACTGATTTAACGAGCACCAGTCGTCATTTAATACACGGGGAGTCTACGGCCAGCGGGTATTGAACTCGCGACCTCTTAGACATGGGCCCAGCGCCCTACAAACCAGGCTATCCCGACCTCTAAAACTTCATTTTATTTAGTTCACTATTTCTTGAACTACCAGCAAAAATGTCTTCATTCCTTTTCGACATTAATGTAGGGTTATGCAGTGCATACCAAATAAATTAAATACATTTCACAGTCAAGTATCAAATTTCCCTAACAACAATTATACCTTGGCCCCAGTTGGGCTCGAAATTGGCTCAATATGTGTCCTATGCGAACAGGCTCAAAGGGACCCATATTGGGATGCCTAGATTTTTCAATGTTGGTCCTATGCAGTGTCAATATCAGCCTATATAGGATCAATATAGGGCTTATATTGGCTGAATAATGATTATAAAATATTGGGTGAATCTGACAATTCTATGTAGGGCCAATATTGGTTGTAAAGTATCAGTAAAATATCAGGTGAATCTGACAATTCTATGTAGGGCCAATATTGGTTGTAGAGTATCAGTAAAATATCGGGTGAATCTGATAATTCTATGTAGGGCCAATATTGGTTGTAAAGTATCAGTAAAATATCAGGTGAATTTGACAATTCTATGTAGGGCCAATATTCGTTGTAAAGTATCAGTAAAATATCGGGTGAATCTGATAATTCTATGTAGGGCCAATATTGGTTGTAAA